GGAGGCATCATGCTACCTGACTTCAAACTATACTACAAGGCTACAGTAACCAAAACAGCATGGTACTGGTACCAAAACAGAGATATAGACCAATGGAACAGAACAGAGTCCTCAGAAATAATACCACACATCTACAGCCATCTGATCTTTGACAAACCTGAGAGAAACAAGAAATGGGGAAAGGATTCCCTATTTAATAAATGCTGCTGGGAAAATTGGCTAGCCATAAGTAGAAAGCTGAAACTGGATCCTTTCCTTACTTCTTATACGAAAATTAATTCAAGATGGATTAGAGACTTAAATGTTAGACCTAATACCATAAAAATCCTAGAGGAAAACCTAGGTAGTACCATTCAGGACATAGGCATGGGCAAAGACTTCATGTCTAAAACACCAAAAGCAACAGCAGCAAAAGCCAAAATTGACAATTGGGATCTCATTAAACTAAAGAGCTTCTGCACAGCAAAAGAAACTACCATCAGAGTGAACAGGCAACCTACAGAATGGGATAAAATTTTTGCGATCTACTCATCTGACAAAGGGCTAATATCCAGAACCTACAAAGAACTCAAACAAATTTACAAGAAAAAAACAAACAACCCCATCAAAAAATGGGCAAAGGATATGAACAGACATTTCTCAAAAGAAGACATTCATACAGCCAACAGACACATGAAAAAATGCTCATCATCACTGGCCATCAGAGAAATGCAAATCAAAACCACAATGAGATACCATCTCACACCAGTTAGAATGGCGATCATTCAAAAGTCAGGAAACAACAGGTGCTGGAGAGGATGTGGAGAAATAGGAACACTTTTACACTGTTGGTGGGATTGTAAACTAGTTCAACCATTGTTGAAAACAGTATGGCGACTCCTCAGGGATCTAGAACTAGAAGTACCATATGACCCAGCCATCCCATTACTAGGTATATACCCAAGGGATTATAAATCATGCTGCTATAAAGACACATGCACACGTATGCTTATTGCAGCACTATTCACAAGAGCAAAGACTTGGAATCAACCCAAATGTCCATCAGTGACAGATTGGATTAAGAAAATGTGGCACATATACACCATGGAATACTATGCAGCCATAAAAAAGGATGAGTTTGTGTCCTTTGTAGGGACATGGATGCAGCTGGAAACCATCATTCTTAGCAAACTATCGCAAGAACAGAAAACCAAACACCGCATGTTCTCAATCATATGTGGGAACTGAACAATGAGATCACTTGGACTCGGGAAGGGGAACATCACACACTGGGGCCTATCATGGGGAGGGCGGAGGGGGGAGGGATTGCACTGGGAGTTATACCTGATGTAAATGACGAGTTGATGGGTGCAGCACACCAACATGGCACATGTATACATATGTAACAATCCTGCACGTTATGCACATGTACCCTACATATTAAAGTATAATAATAATAAATTAATTTAAAAAAATAAAATAAATAAAAATAAAAATTAAAAAAAAAGATATTCACTCAAAAACACTGTACAGACCAAAAATATGTATAGACAAACTCAAGATTCCTAGCTTGAGATAGAGCTATTAAAGGAAAGTTGGATAAACTAGAAACATAACCCTAAGCCGCTTAGGATAATAAATAGGGGAAATTCAAAATACAGGCTAGTTAGTATTGCATTTAACTGCCAAGAACAAAAGAACCCTCATAGTGACTTACAGTAGGTAAGAAATTTATTTCTCTCTTATGTAAATGTAGGCACTTAGGTCTTATTGCTCTTCCCACCTCTACAAGTGTCTTTGATCTGGTTCAAGAGGGCTGCTGTAGCTCCAGCCATTATATCTGTATTCCAGCTAGCGAGAGGGGAAAGGAAGAGACAGACACACCCTCTCCCTGAAGGACGTTTCCTGAAAACTGTACACATCATTTCCATTTACAGCCCATTGGCCAGGATTTCATCACATGGGCCATACCCATTTGCAAGGGAGGCAGAGATATGTGGCTTTTATTCTAAGAGGCCATATACAGAGCAAAACGGAGAGATTGGGTAGAGACAATGGATATTGGTAGCACAATGAGCAGCATGTCACAGAATAACAAGACTTTACAGTCAGGTCACTTCTCTTCTATCTTTGAAAACGTCAACACCATCCCCTCCATTTCAACCATGTTTAACTACTTGCATTTACCTAAGCACACTAGACCCTGCTCACACTAGGGGCCTTTTCTCTCTGCCTGGTTGAGCTTCTGTGCCTCCCTTCTCTTCTCCAGCTTCTTCCCTCCTACCTCTTTGTCAATCCCCATTCTCCTGTGGATTGCTCTGATGACCCTCTTCTCCCCTTTCCCCAGCAGCTGCCTCTTCTCTGAGATCCACAGCCTCTGTGTTTCCCTCTTATGTGGCTCTCAATACATCATCACCAGCTGCTATGGTTGGAATGAGTCCCCCAAAATTCATGTGTTGGGAACTTAATCTCCAATGCAACAGTGTTGGAACGTGGGGCCTTTGTGGAGGTGTTTAGGTCACGAGGGCTCTGCTTTCATGAATGGATTAATGCCATCGGTTGATACTCTCAAAAGGCTGTGAAGAAAGGGCTACTAGAGGGGAAACAGAGGGAACTCATCCTTCTT